ACTTTAAAATATTTTTCTCTTCTTTTCACTTAGATTAGAGTAATTCGGCCCCCAAATTATGCTGGTCCCCTTATGTTGGGATTGCTTTTGGCTGTTATTGGTGGACTTGTATATCTTCGAAGAAGCAATATGGAATTTCTCTTTAACAAAACTGGATGGGCTTTTGCAGCTTTGGTGAGTGAGTTTTAGAAGAAAAATTGAGTTAAATTCTTAATACTGTATTTTCAGGTAAGTTTTCATTTATATGAAAAGTACCATTTTGTTTGTTTCTTACCTGAGGGAAAGGCATTCACATATATTTATTTTCTGCCTTAAAATCGGTTTATTTCTTCTGTTATCTTGTGATGGCGAAAGCTAAGAGGATCTGGTTATACCCAGTTTTATTCAATCTAAATGAAAGGCTATCAACTCCATGAAAACCTGCAGTTTTTTAAAAAATAGTCTTGTAAAGGGTATTTTCGATATTCAATTTTGAAATTTGTGTCAGCTTATTTATAATTTTAATGTGATGTTTTCTTTCTGAAGTAAATATTATTGAATTGTGATTCTTGTGATCCTTGTGGTAAAACATAAGCCTTAAGAAAGGCATCACCAAAAAAAGAAAGAATAAAGGAAAGCATCACTTACCTGAAAATAATGTTCTTCAGCACATATTAAACAGATGTACTTTTGTACCAATTTATCTAATCTAATCTCTTGTACATAGGGAATGGACTCGATGGCACCTAACAGCATCAACAACAACAATGTAATCAAAATGGGAACATCTGAACCATGTTATATGAATGTTTCATTATTTTTTGTTTCCTAGTGTTTTGTGCTTGCTATGACATCTGGTCAAATGTGGAACCATATACGAGGACCACCATATGCTCATAAGAATCCCCACACAGGACATGTGGTAAGGAAAGGCTGGGATTTCTTTCTGTTGTATACCAGAGTTAAGCTTAATGATTATTACCCTGTGAGAACAGTGCCAGCATGTGGAGGAACTAGATTTATTTTTTACTTTGGATCTCTTGATTGTTTTCACATTTTAGTTGCTGAAAACACTATGTTGTGCTCTTAAAAGTAGGAAGTTTCTTATCCTGTTTAGTGAATTCTTTTGACTGAGCTGGCTAAGAATGAAAATCTGCATTCATCTAAATAGAATAATCGGTCAAGTGCTTGATAAGAGTGGTAGATAAGAAAAACATGGTCCCTGTCTTAATGGGATCTATATTATTGTATCTCATGCTCTTCTGTACTTAAATTATTCAGTTATTCTGTTATTAAATATAGTAAATATAGTGAACATACAAATAATACAGAAATAGCTTTATAGTTAACTTATTTACTGATGAATGCCACAGACCTAAAGTATGCTACATCCTTACATACATTAGGTGAATTAATATTTTTATAGGACTTAAAAATATCCCGTTTTAGTGATAGGATGCCAAAATTTAATATATATTTAAAGATTCTATTTTGTCTTTTTTTCCCCCCAGAATTATATCCATGGAAGCAGCCAAGCCCAATTTGTAGCTGAGACACACATTGTTCTTCTGTTTAGTATCCTCTTTATAATCCTTGTGCTACATTATAGTATGTCTATTTTCTCATATTCTAATATTCTCTCTATACCATTTGTTTAGGTCTCCTATCTTACTAATGCAGGTCATAATATCCTTTTGAAATTATTATTATATTATTATATTATT